TTGGAATGTTTCCTGCAGATTCATCCAAAGTAGTTTCATTTTCAAATTAGAAAACACTTGTTTTAATGACGCATTATGGTAATCTTTAATCGTCAGCTTGTTATTGGCTAAATATTCAACGATTCCAATGCATAAAAAATCAATTCGTTGGTCAAGTGGTGGTGCCATTAGAAAGAGGAATTTAACATTGAGAGTTCAAACACCTCTAAGGTGCGGGGCTCTTTATCGCTAACGAAGAAGCTCTATGAAAGTTACCTACAGCGGTAATGGTCAAGGCTTTACAAGTTTTTCTTTGAACACGGTTACTACAGTCTAAAGTTATCTAATCGGTTATTCAACACTTAAATCGGCTAATTGGTATTCATGTAATTTCCCATACGTTGTAAGAGCATACTGATCGGTGTCACGTTCTAGCGAGCCTATAGTTTAATGTATTTTCGAGTTGGCGGAGTTTTGGTATGCATATCAATTCCATTAAAGTCTGGCGATTTTTTGGGGATTTTAAGCCCGGGAGAAAACAGCCTAAAAACCCGAAAAATTGCCCGGTTTCTAGAAAGTTCGTTGCAATTTAGAAATCGTCTCAAACCTCGCATAAATTTGGTTGGATTGGTAAAAAACAGCAAAAAGTTAATGTTTACATCTACTTTCCTAAAAATACTAGGATTCTAAAAAATGCGTTTACAGGTGCAATCAGAGCGTAAACAGTTACAGGCAAACGAGTTAGAGGGTCCCCAAAAATGGGTTATTTTGGCATGGAATCATGGTCGCATCTTCTTCCAAACTAAAAAAAACTTTAAACATTCTTAACTAAAAAGTTTAGATGTTGACAGAAAGTAATCTGAAATAATGATCGACATTTTAGTCGTTTTGGTGGATTTTTCGCATTTAATTTTAGGTGTTTGTTGTCGATTATAATAAGCTATCACACTTTAAAAATGACGTCAAAACTCCCAAAATATTACATTTCAAATGAACTGATCAATTTTAGGCTCCGCTTCTCCTAAATATTACGTGAAGATCAGCTTGATTAGTTTTTCTGTAACGAGTTTTCGAAAAGTTTGTTGCAAATTCTGTCGAATTCAAATTACCCAGTCGCAGTCCCAGATTTAAAACTGTAAAAACGCTCGTAATTTGCCATAAAAATGAAGCTTTTGAGTGTTTTAGAGCACAGTTTGGTTTTTTTCCTCAAAACGGTGCCAGTTTTGTGCAAGCTGAAGTCACAAATTTGAATTTTGCTTGAAAATCGCATACATTTTTCATTCAAATGGTACTTTCAGAAGTTTTGAAGGACGGTTTTCTTCTAAAACTGTTAGCTTGACTGGTTTTTTTCGTAAGTAATTTTATCGAAGTTCATATACTTACCTTACGCGATTGCGGCCACTTTCAAATCTCCTCAAAACCCACAATTTTTCAATTAAAATGAAACTGTCAGAGAAGCTTTAAAGGACGATTTTCTAAATCTTCTTATAGACAATTAATGTGTCGAAAATACACTTTGCAAAAAATCTGAGGTTCCATTTTGAAAATGAGCTAATCGAGGTAAAAATTTGAAGTATTTTGTTCGGAAAATCGTCTTTTCGACCTTCAAATTATCATAACGTCCAAGTTTTTCAACCGATAGCAATTTTCCGAGATTCGTTTTTCGTTTTTCAACAAATTAACAGAAATATTAACAGGGTTATGTAGAAAATTTCTACATACAAAAAGCTATTTTCTCAAAAAGAAAAGTGCGTCCTTAAATCATCAAAGAAAACACTGATAACTTTTGTCTTGAAAATCGTCTTTTCGACCGTCAAACTCGTAGGATTTCAAGTTTCTCAACCGATTTCAATTTTGCAAAATACGATTTTTAGACCAAATCACTCGCTATAGAACGAATTTGAAACTTTTACAGTCTGTGGTAGACGCTCGAATCCAAAAGTGCGGGTTATTTCATTTAAATGTCCCGATATACCGATTTTTACTAACTTGTTACGTAGGTACTTACGGAGTTAAAGGTGAACGTTTTCATTCAACAGCACCCGCCCGCTGATTTAAAAAGTTTTCAATTCCGATCTGGTGCAAGTAGATAGAACTTTTCGAGCCTGTGGAAGTTCTGATAATTTTATTTGAATGGCCCGGTATCCTGATTTTTACCAAATCTCTGGTTTTCAAGGGAGTAAGTAAGTTAAGATTAATCCGGTTTTCCATATGTTTTAATCGTGTCAAGTCAGCTACTGGACACAATGAAAATAATAACTATTAATGTATTATTATGATTTTTATTAAAATTGCAATGCTGTCAGACGTGTGACTCAGCTTGTTCACACATAATGCATTTTATTTCCCAGAAGCGCTGGCCTCTCCCAAGAAGCCTGGACAAATAACGGTGTTTTAATGAATCATTACGACCTTAGATTTCCACCATTCTAGGAAAGTGGGAAGCTAATTAGGTAATCGGTTTTGCACATTCATTGATTGTAAGCTCTAGCCTTGGATTTTGCATGTAATTAAACAACCTTGCTTTTAGCTAGATAGTTTACGAGAACTATGAACTATTTTAAGCTTTTGACCTCTAGTATATTGACCTACTCGTTAATGAAAAAAAAAAACCATCGTCCTCCGTAATTGTAGGTGTTTCCACTCAGCAACCTACAACTACCGTTAAATCCGCGAAAGATCAACGATCCGATTTATGAAGGCAAACAAAGATAAATTATTTCTTAAAGCCGAAGTTTGCCTTTCAATGGAATATCATCAATTTACGATCTATTGTGAAAGGTCAGAGGCACCAACCATTGTTATGGGGGGATTTTTAGGATGCGAAACATTGTAAAACTAGATTTGGCTACTAACAGTAAGTAACCGTTGCATACTGTATATGAGCCGTTTTATTTGAAAGTGGTGTAAGTGACTTTTTTGAGAAAACTGCCAACATTTCCTTATCGATGGTTCACTATCTCCAAAGGACATTTAGTTCTCTCTGAAATGTAAAAATGAGCGTTTTTTTGCTGATTTTGCTTTCGAGAAACGAGCAAAAGCGGGATGGAAATCATAAAATTTTGGTCTAATCTTGCACCTAAGTGTCTGATATTGAAATTTCGCTTTCTGGATCAAAACTACTCGAATTTCTTCACTCATGTTGTTATGACTGAATCGAATTTTCAATGATCTATCCAACGATGCCAAAACGAATTATGTGGCTCAAATGGGGCTTGAGAAACTTCGGAAAAAGTAGTGTCATATTTGAGTTGACCACGCAAATCTAAAACTTCTTGAAATCAAGACTTTTTTGAGAAAACTGCCAACTTTCACAAGGCCATTTCGTTCTCTCTGGAATGATTGCATTGCACACAGTGCCAAAATACAGTAAATTCCGCTTATAATGATGCCGGTTACAGTGAACTTTCGGTTAAAACGAACTTTTCTCCTTTAATTGAAACGTTGTCTATAAAGGCCAACGCATTTTTTTACTGGTTATACCGAACTTCCGGATATAACGATCACTTTTTAGGTTAGTTGTATATTCACTTTCCGTTTATAACGAACTTCCACGCTCAGCAACACGAATCGTGCAGCGTTGTTTATATTAGTGAGAGCGAGAAACAGGCAGTTTGTTTTTTTGCCGCGTTAGGTTTGTAAATCGTTTTAGAATGGAAAAACAAAAATGCAAAGCTTTTTCACTAAATGAAAAGTACGAGATTGTTAACAAAATAAAAAGTGTAGTAAAGCAGAGTGGCATTTGTAAGGAATTAGCACTTGGGAAGTCTACTGTTGCAACCATATGCAAAAACAGAGAAAACATTTTATCAGCGTATGACAAAGCAAATGTTAGATGTAAGAAGTTATTAGTTATAATTATCTGCACATGAAGAGGTTGACAAGGGACTTATTAAGTGGTTTACTCATAAAAGGCAAGAAAACGTTCCCATAAGTGACAGTGTTTTGCAAGAAAAGGCTAGTGAAATGGGGAGTAAAATCAAAAACAAAAAGTTTGTTTGTTCTAGAAGTTGGGTAGAGCGTTTCGAGAAGAGACATAATATCAGTAGAACACAAGTGCGAAGCTCCAACCTGTAGATCAAGGAGTAATACATTCCCTAAAGTCATTATAGGAAAATTATTCTTATAAAAATGTTAGAGGCGATCGATAAAAATGAAACATTTTCCATAAATCTCTTAGATGCAGTCAATTTCATTCATAGAGCTTGTCAAAAAGTTAGCCGAAAAACTATTGCAAATTTCTTTAAGCATGGTGGATTTGTAAGAAAAGACAATGATTATGAATCAGACGATGAAATTCCACTTAATGAATGGTTAGAAAAGCATAAAGATTCTGACTACGAGTATGACTCAGATGAAGATGTGCCCAATTTTGTCGAAGAACAAGTTAAAACCAAATTGCGTTATTTCAATTTCTTCGAATATGTGAGCATTGATAATGGCATTCTTACAAGAGGAACAGAAGACTCCGTAACCTCATCTACAGCTTTAAGCGATAATGAAGAAGGTGACGATTTGAGTGAAACTGATTCTACTGTAGATACTAATGCTGTTCCAACCATTTCTGAAATGACAAAAAAAGTGTCAGAAACTAGAAATTTTCTACAATCACGCCAAGTTCCTAATCATATCTGGGAGTCATTTTGTGATCTTGAAAACTACATAAATAACCTTTATTTTAGCAGCAGAAATGTACAAACAAAAATTACAGACTTTATGAAGTAGATTTCAAATTGAATTTTGTTTATCTTTTTGGGTTCTTTTTAGTCATACCTACTAACATCTATTACTCTATGTAAAAATAACGAAATAAAATACATCACGTGTTTTTGTATTATTATTTGCTTATAGCGAAGTCCGGATATAACGAACCAGTTTTAGTTCATTTTTCAAGTTCGTTATATCCGGACTCAACTGTATGTGTAGTACCTACTGAATTGTTTCGAAAAACTCGCCGATTAAAATTGTAAATCGGACATACATTTTTTTGATATTTACTCATTTTGACTTTTTACTTTCAGATTTAGTTCATTGTACTAATGAGCCCAACGTGTCCATACCACAGCTGGCCAATTTGTTAATAGAAAGGTCACAAAACGCCAACTGGGTGGTGGTTTACAAAGCCTTAGTGACATGTCATCATATGATGTGTTATGGAAACGAGGTAAGAATTATTATGAAAATCTAAATGTTATTTTAGTCATAATTGAAACAGGATTTGCGACATGTTCCGTGGGTTTTGACTGTGGCCCGCTACTTTCGGTAGACGTGGACGCGCAACATCCGTTAAACACACATAATAATTTGCCTGGAAAATGTAGTTTTGGGTTTCAGTTCGCTAATTCGCAGTTTGGCTTACTTAATTGGTGTGAAAGTTTACGTCTTATCTGATTTTCTAACTAAAATGAGTTACTTGGAGAAAACGGGAAAAATGTTGGTCAATTGGCAAATTATTACATGAGTCTTGCTCAACTTTACAAAATTGCAAATTTATTTTTTTTGTGGAAACTACCGCTTATTTGGGTTTAGATTTTAAAATGTGCCCTTCAAAACTCAATAGAGAAACTAACAAACATTTGAAACATGTATTTCTTCTCAACTGGTGACAGCAAAAAAAATCCTTTGTTCCATCGCCAAAATCATACAATTTTATTTATGAAAGTCGGTACTGTCGGTACTAGTTTTGAATCACTTTTTCAAAAAAAGTCCTAATGCAAAAAACAGGGGTTTTATTATTCTATTACGATTAAATTTAATAAAAGTGGATGATTTCTCAGGTTCGCACACTGGAGACGGCTTACTTTTCAACCTGCATGTCCTCGATTTGTTCCACAGGACTTTGCACTTCAATGCCGCTCTTGAGCATCGCCACCCTCAAAACCAGCATTTGTGCGCTCCTTAAATGTTCTTTGCCCACAGCGAGCCCCTTCGCCAACGCCGTTTTTTTTGGGTCTTTCTTCTTCGCATACAGCACCTAAAATCGCACAAAAATAAGTCCCGAAATGGTTGAAAAAAGCATCGATTTTTACCTTATTAACCGAGTCAATTAGCGCTTCAATCTGCCCGTCTAAAATTAACCGCACCAACTCTTCCTCTATCGCTGGTACTGTGCGGTCAAACGTTTGGGCCATGCGGCGGATATCCACAGACACGTACGGACTTGACAAAAAAATTGAACAAACATGAAAATGTTCGGAAATAGTATATTATATGCAGGGCGTCAATTTGAAAACTTTCCACCTTTCATATCTTTCTTGCGGTTAAAAATATGAAAAATCGGAAAGACCCGTCAGTTTAATTTTTAAGGGGGACACTAAATTAATGTTTTTAGCCTCCTTGTTTCAACCCCCTAGGACGGGTAGGTGTCCCCCTTAGAATCTTAAATAGGAAGGGGGTCAAGTGGCACGTCGTTTTAAAGGGCGTTCCATTCTCTTTACATTAGTTACTACTTTGTTGCTTTTTGTCCAGATGTTTTCGAATAATCGCGTTTCAAAGTTATTGTCAAAACAATTAGACTTGCCTGCATTGAGATTTTGGTTTTCAGATTAGTGTTTGAACAAAACTTATGCCATTGGGTCTCCTTATGGTACAAATGATTAGAATATTCGATTACCCCGTTGAAATCGTTTAATAACGGGAAGGAATGAAATAAATTTCAGATTTATTGATTATTTTACTTCGAGAAAAATTACTTTTTATTTACGGAAGAGAAATTTCTACAATAAAACCCATGGGATCTACTTACGCACTATTTTATAAGTTGTTCAAAATGTTGTCTGTTTTCCTGTAAACAATAATAAAATCAATTTTCGAAGTCTCCCTAGCATTGATAAGATATTCCCGGATAGATCGATTGGCAGTAGGGGACTAATTGAATGGCGTCCAAGATCACCGGATTGAACACCCTTAGATTTATTTCTTTAGGGACATCTCAAGTTCATTGTTTATAAAACACAACTTGCTGATATTAATGGTCTTAAACGTCGAATTCGAACAGAATGCCGGTCAATTCCCGGTGAATCAATAAATGAGAAATAAGGTCAAAATCAATAATAATAAGGCAATGTTTAAACTAGATTTTCTTCCGGTTATTAAACGATTTTAACAGTGTAACCTACTCTTCTAATCATTTGTATTACAAGGAGACCCAATACAATAGTTTTTGTGCAAACACTAACCTGAAAACCAAGATCTGAATGCAGGCAAGTTTAATTGTTTCTACAACTTTGAAACGCGATTATTCGGAAACCTCAGGACAAAAAGCAACAAAGTAGTAGCCAGTGTAAAGATGATTGAACGCCCTTTAAAACGATGACTTGACTTGACCCTATTCCCATTCAAGATTCTAAGGGTGACATCTACCCCTTTTAGGGGGTTGAAACAGAGGATGAAAATATTAATTTAAAGTGTCCTCCTTACAAATAAAATTTACGGGTCTCCGAATTTTTCATATTTTTAACTGCAAGAAAGATTAAGGGTGGGAAGTTTTCAAATTGATACCCCGTATGTACCTCGGGCGAGAAGTAAGCTGTTATAAAATGTGCGAGGTGTTTAATAGCCTTCTCGACCACCTAACTCGACTCTAACATAGATAAATGCCGATTTTGAATTTCCCGCAAATTTTCTGAAATGTCGCAATATTTGATAGCTTGACGTTCATTTGTCAAACTGACAAACTGCCGCAATATAATTTTGTGGTCGCGAGAAAACAGATTAAAGTTCTATGAAAAAGTTATGGGAAAAGCGAAAATTTAGTGAATCCTAAAGTTACAGCAATGATTTAGAATGCGGTGGAAACGGACGGAATGTCACTTTGAATTTTTGACAGGTTGGTAATATAAAAATGAGGAAAACATAATAG